CTCCCTGTAGTAACACGTCAGCATTGTACTCTGGGGGAATTGCTAATTAACTGCAATTTTTGAATGAAGTTATTCTTTCAATTGTATAAACAGAAGTTGCCACGAATAACAAAGCATAATGTCTGACTTCAGTTGATGCAAAATGTTTAGACACTTATACTGGACACTTGTCTCAATATTTGTTTTAGCTGTTCCTTGGTAAGACTGTTGCAGATTTTATATTTAATCTCTTGTTGATTCTGAAATACTTGTCATTATGATGCCCTAAGCAGTTATTGACTGTTCACTCTTGTCTAATTCATATAGCTAAAGCTAGATTACAGCTCATAAAAACATGCTAAAATCACTGAAGATAATTATCACTTAAATCTTTGTATAATTATCACTTAAATCTTTGTATCTGAACAAACAAGCCTGAAACCTCATAAGAAGCAGACTAATTTTGCTACAAAGCATACATAGAGACCTGTATTTTACCTGTCTTACTGACTAGCTGTTAAGACTTCATTGTGGTTTAACCCCAGCTGGCAACTAAGCCCCACACAGCTGCTCTCCCACTCCCCCTTGGTGGGATGGAGGAGAGAATCAGAAGGGTAAAAGTGAGAAAACTTGTGGGTTGAAATCAAGACAGTTTAAAAGGTAAAGCAAAAGCCACATGTACAACCAACAAGGAATTAATTCACTACTTCCCCTTGGCAGGCAGGTATTCAGCCATCTACAGGAGAGATACACCACATGCAGTGGTTACTTGGGAAGACAAATGTCATCACTCTGAACATCCCCCTTGTTCCTTCTTCCCCCAGCTGTATATGCTGAGAATTACATAATATGGTGGTGAATGTCCCTTTGGTCATTTGAGGTCAGCTGTGTCTTATGCACCCCTAGTGTACTTGCTGGAGGAGTGGAGGCAGAAAAGGCATTGACTCTGTGTTAGCACTGCTCAGCAGTAACCAACACATCTCTGTATCATCAGGCATTTCCAGCAAATATCCCAAACATACTCCTCTATTAGCTACTATAAAGAAAATTAACTTTATCCCAGCCAAAACCAGCACAGACTTCCTCTAGGACTTGGTCTAAATCAGGGTTAGTAATTTATAATCTGAAGTAGTGATAGTAATATAATAAACATACAGTGTGATCCAAATTACATATACAGAGAAAATTTTCTGGGTTTGAAGTGTGCCAGCAAATAGACTGTTCTGAAGCTATATATAGATATTACATAAGTAAAAATATTGTCTTACGATTATTTTTTTTCCATTTCAGGGATCTGATAAAAAACTACAATTCAGTCCTTCACTAAGGTTTAAGGGAGAATGTAAGAACAGATTTCTGTTTGTTTTTAATTTAGAATATTCCTATAGACTTAGTGAAACTGTAGCTCATCTACACGTGGAAATACAAACTCTCCAAGTTCCAGCATTTCTGACTGCAACCTGACATGTAACTTCTCCGTTATTTTAAACTCATATGAGGTATCTACAACACCAAGCACTTTCCCTCTATAATATAGGCTTAAAATAAATCCAAATTAACTAATGGATAGTGATGCTAATAAAGTAAGAAGTAAAATTACAGTGTCACCTGAATGATTGAGAATTTATGCTTGTATGCTTTTGCAGCATGATCTTTTTTACCAAGAGCAAAGATGATTCTTACTCTGTATAATACTTAACCTATTGCCAAAGCTGAATATTATATTTATACTATTTTAAGACTGTAGAACACAGAAAAAGCAACTAGATACATAACTGAGATAAAGCAGAGCTATTTTACGCATTCAGCAGTTACGGTCACATTTAGATGCAGAATTATATAAAGCTGGCACTTGGATACAAAAATGTTGTCTTGCCACCTCTCCAAGTAACAGGAGAGTTTCTGTAATTACAGAAGATTTGGTGGCTGGCTTGCCACCTGCACGGATGCCAAACCGGAAGATGAGCCATCACACATCTGAGACAGATCAGCATGCTGGTGAGTTCAGAAACAAGTCTCTCCAAAGAGGCAGTGTACTACAGAAATAGAGCATGCTACACTAGTTATCATATAATTGCACAAATAATATAAAAGGTAGTTTTAAAGTTAATTCACTAGCTTCATCACGTGTTCACGTGTGACTTCAGTAAGCCAAGCAGGTATTTCATTCCCTATTTATTGGAAAGAAGGAAAAAAAATCAAGAAAAACAATCCAAACCAACCTTTTTCCAGCTTCTCAACCCTGGCTGCTTGCAAGCCCATCTTGAAGGGACATTACTGGTTTCAAGTCATAGATACCCTACCCCAAGTTGCAACACTAGGGTGTCCTGGTTTGAGCCAGAATGAATCCAATTTTCCTTTTACTGATTTTTTTTTCCTTCAGTAAGCTTTCTTTTAACTAGTAACAGAGTGTTCCAACTAAGACTGATAACACTGGAATGTTTTTCTAAGTGCTGGGACTAAGGTCACACATTTACTCTGCTGGCTCAGGCACTACAGGAAGATCTATGACCCTCCCCGTAGGAGGCTGAGTTAGACAGACAGCAAAATTGGCCAGAAATATTCTATTCCATATATGTACATGAGCTCAGAGGAAGGTCAGAGATCACAGAAGACAATTTCCTTCCTGCTTCTTCTTCCCTTCTCTTCCGTCCATGGCCGGCATCTGGGCAGGTCTCCGTCTATCCATCACCGTTGACCTCCAGGCTCAAGCTCTCCTGACCCTCATCATTCTGCACTCTCTCCAGCAGCTCTGGGACTTTTCGGGACTGTTCACAGCTCAGGAGATGCTGTGGGAGTTGCTGGGGGTGGAGGGAGGTGAGAGGATTTTGCAAATATCAGAACATATTAGTATATAATTATATATATTTTCTCTTATCACTAGAGTTTAATTAAAGCTGTGTAGTTTAGTTTTCAATCCAGCCAAGTCTCTCTCTTTCTCTCTCTCTCCTTCCCTACCTGAGTGGGGGGGGGGGGGGATCAAGAGCATTGTTGTCGAACCTGAGTCAAACTGTGACATAGGGACACCACCAATGACTGGAAAAGAACTGGAAGTATTTTTGCTCTTTTCACCACTGGGAAACAGTTTCCAGCTGGAGATAGCATGAACCTAATTTTACGGTGGCCTTCTCATCAGACATATCAGTATCTTTATCACAATAACTACACATCTTGTGGAATTCTACTTATTATGCACGTAGCAAAACTAAGGCAACATCACCACTTGGTTACATTGAAGTTTATACAGTTCCACGGCTTTTCTTAACTTTTCCCCTCAATAAACAAATTATTGAGATTCCTAACTACAGTAACTATGCCATCAATTGCATTTCCTTACTGTGTTGCCCTGCTTTATAGGAGTTGCATTCTCTTACTCCAACAATCTTAACTTAACTACATCTAACTTGCCCCTTCGAATGTGACTCACTGAGGGTACTTCTTTTAAAATGTGTAAATTCTGTAATGTCTGAAACACAGCACTGATTAATGCAAAACTCAGGACATAGACTACAACACTGCAGATAAGAGCCACGGGGAAGACTTAAAGAGTCCACCACAGCTCCTGTTAGAGGTAGGCCAGCTAGCTGTACCATGTGGCATACTGGATAATGTGGTATGTGACCTGTGAGTAAGGCACTGCTGCCATTATCAGGGTCACTATTGTCTAGAAGGCAGTCTAATCTGGCAGGATCAGAAGAGAAATATAAAGGCAGAAAGAGAAACACAGTACTTCAGTCAGTTCTTTGCTCCCACCCTGGCAGTCAGTAGATTCAGACTTTGTTCTGCGTGCAATGGAGTGCAACCTGTTGGCTTAAAGTCAGGGTTTGAGAAAAGTGGCTTTGCAACTGTTTTGAAAAGTATTTCCACTATAATCTTTCATATGCTTTGTGTTCTGTTATTTCCTTTCCTTGTTCTTCAGATGCCTTGAGCTCTGACAGAGTTCTCACAGGACTCATTCACTCTTACCCCTAGACCTCTTTGTCCTGCAACCAGTTTCTAAGTCATTGCTCTCTCCTCTGCATTTGTACTTCGGTAACTTCTTGTTTGTTTATTTGTTGTTGTGTTTTTTATTCACTAGGATTTGAAATCAAAGTCTTGTCTCAGTAGTTTCCACGCTCTGTATACAAGGTACACCTAACATGATTCCTTGTCTCAGAGCTTTACAAGTACTTTGCAGCTGACACATCTGAATTATGACACTAGTTCAATGACTGTCACTGAGTAATAACTGCGATTTCTGCTAAGTTGAACCTTTTAAATGAACTAATAATCTTACCAAAGAAAATCATAACCTACTCAAGGTGCTAAGACATTCATTCCCTTGTTATCTAATAAGCAAAAACACGACCATTCTAATATTATTAAATACATTTTGTACTACTACTCTTTACTTTAAAGAGGTAAAGGACAGCATGGTCTAAAGAGCCCCACAATAATTTCCCAGGAAGCTATTCTTTAAACCAACACTAATTTTGAATCAGTACAAAAAGGAAGGAAAGGAAGACTAGGATCTGACAAATAAAGGAAGGGTAATATATAGTAGTACTCCACAGTAACATGGAGAGGAAGCTGTCAGGTCAGGGAAGAATGAAATCCCTCAAATTTCTGACTCACAAGAGCCACTGCGAGACATAAGAAACCATAAATCCTCCTGGAAAATTTGGAACAAACCAGCTAATTTTCAGGGTTTTAAAATGCTGCATCATGTACATTTAATCTGATGGAGGATCATAAAAAGTGTCCCAGGAATTAAGTTTTTAAACTTTTCTACTTACACAAACACATATTAGACAAGCCATGACAAAATCCAAAAGTAGATACATACTTTACTATACCTCTTCCATGTTAATAAAAAAATAATTCAAAATACAGGAGAACTTGCACACCAACTGGAAAATAAGATGCATAGAAATGGGGGAAAACCCTTCACATTGTACAGACTGGAAAATAAGTTGCATAGGAATAAGGGAAAACCCTCTGTATTGTAGAGATCTTCATGCAGGAAGTAGTCCCAAAGTCAATCACAGATTCAGCTATATTCACAAGTTTAAATATAAGTGGCAGCATTTTATTACTGTATATTTTTTTTCTTTTTAATAATATGAGACTCCCTTAGCTCCTCAGTCCCATGAGCATATGGGCAAGATTCAGCAGACAAAGAACAACCATCAGGATGGTGAATGAAAAACCAACAGAGACGTGTTTTAAATGCTTCAGCTGAAAGGCGCCGTTTCACTTCAGGCTTAGTTTTCCTTGATGGCTTCTCTTTTCGCCAGTCACGAATATGCACTCTCCCATTTAGAACTAAGATTTAAAAACAAACAAGAATGCAGCTGTTAATAGACAGCCATGGGAATTATACTGGAAAAAATGCATAGTGACATTCTCTGAAAAAAGTACATGTTCTACAAATGGATCACTCGGGCAAAACCAAATGTGCCATTTGTATAGAAACAGAAAGTAGTGCACAACAAATTGAGATAATATAGACACAGTCTAAACAAGAACTGATTGATTTCCCCATGAGATGTTTCACTGTGATGCTGAATAGTTTGAGGCACCTTAGTAACATCCTTGTAGAAGTTTATTTATTTGTTTAAACATAGCAGTTAGGATCATTTAGACTAAAATCCTCTGAATTTACATTGCAAGTCCTGACAAAGTAGTTTCAACTTCATGAACTGTAATCCTTCCAGTCTTCAAAATGTTATTACACCACACTTAAAATGTGGTTACCAGCAAGAATCTAGTAAGAGTCCTCTACTACTTTCACTATGCAGAAATGCTCTTGCAAAGCAATGGCTCATGACCCAAAAATACACTGCACTGAAGACATGACAAGTCTAATCCTTCATATGTTATCAGTGTTATCTTGGGGTGCATTAAGAGGAGTGTCTCCAGTATATCGAGGGAGGTTCTCCTCCCCCTCTACTCAGCCTTGGTAAGACCTCACTTGGAGTATTGTGTCCAGTTCTGGGCTCCCAAGTTCAAGAGGGACAGGGATTTATTCGAGAGTCCAACAGAGGGCTATGAGGATGATTAAGGACTGGAACATCTATCATATGAGGAAAGGCTAAGAGACGTGGCGCTTTTCAGTCCAGAGAGGAGAAGACTGAGTGAGGATCTAATTAATGTCTATGAATACATGAGGGTTGGGCATCAAGAACGCAGGGACAAGCTCTTTTCATTTGCGTCCTGTGATAGAACGAGAGGCAATAGATTCAAACTCAATCACGAGGAAGAACTTCTTTACTGTGAGGGTTACATAGCACTGGAACAGGCTCCTCAGAGAGGCTGTGGAGTCTCCTTCTCTGGAAACTTTCAAGACCTGTCTGGATGCTTTTCTGAGTGATCTGCCCTATTTTTCTCAGTCCTGCTCTGGCAGGGGGGTTGGACTCGATGATCTTTGGAGGTCGCTTCTAACCCCTAACATTCTATGATTCTGTGATATGAATCAACAATTAATCATCATTGGCTAATAAAGACTTGGCACTTTGCTTTTTTTAAAATTAATTTGCTGTGTTCAGACCATAAACTGAACACAAACATTTGTGAATCTCTTTCATCCCCTTTGATGTGTAAACATAAGAGAATAAAAGGAAGTTAGTAAGAGAAACAAGAAAGTAGATTAAAAGTATTAGTGAAAATTAGGAGGGAAGAATCTGCTGCTTATAAGTTGCCATATTCTGCTTCAATCACACCTTCTGTCATACCTATACCCACTCATAGCTTGGCATAGTTAACTGGTACCACCCCACATTCTGATAATCACTATTCAAAAGGCAGTGAATCCAGTGCAAGCTTAGTATCACTGAGTCAGCTCTGGATGAATTCACCCCTCCAGGTTTCCTTGTGATACACAAGCAGGTCTGAGCTCCTACAAAGCCAGTCCAGAAGTGGGTTCAGCAGAGCTTTAAAATCTCTCTCAAAAGATGGAAGAAAAATTAGCAGATATAGGGATATTTATGATGAAGCATATTTTTTTTCTAAAAAATTAGTATTGGTCAAGATGCCTGATCAAAATAAACTGCCACAGATTGGTTACTTTTAGGCCCTTCTTTTGTGTGTGTATGTGCCTAACTGAAAAAAACAAACACTTCAGTAAAGATGACAGAACTGTAGCAATGTTCCTCTCTGTTCTCCTTGGCACAAGCAATGTCATTCTAGACCACCTGCTGATAGAAGTCTCTTGTTATGGAGACTACTGAAGGAAAGAATCAAATTGCCTCTACTGAAACCCCAGGGAGTTTCCATGTGATGTAAATTACTGAGAAAAATCTGGCTTTAATCCTAGTCTTTCTTCAGAGGTAATCTGCAAACAGCATCCATGCCAAACTAAAGTCCTTACTCCATATTACAGGTTGTAACTCTATTCCACCTATCCCTAATGACAGGGTATCAAATTCAGGCACATAATGAATGCAGTGTGACCAACTCTTTTCAATGGATAGTAATTAAAAATTATTTCAGTATGGCTTGTGTAAAAATTGTGTAAAAGTGTGCAGAATTCCTTAGTGGATGCTAAAGTTGGCTAAGTTAACCACTGGCAGCAGCAAGGTTGCACATTCAAGATACTTTGCCATGGATTAGTTGATCAACATTTTACACCTGATGTTGGGACATATGAGGTAAAACACTTCCAAATCTGAAGCAACCTTAAATACTGATAAAACCTTGCAGATCTTGTATTATTGCAAAGCTAGACCTTACTTTTTCAAGACTACACAATGACAAAAGAACCCCAAAAAACCAAACAAAACCCACCACCACATCATTCCAACTGAAGAAGAAAAAACTGCAATTGACCAACCCAGATAACTACTGAAACATGGTACTGAATTCTTTCTGCCATGCTACTACAGGCTGCATAAAAACACCAAGCCTCACAGTTACACATGCTTATAGAGCCCTGTTTTGTTTTGTGTTGGCATTTACAATGTGGGTCTTGATAAGGCCAGACTAAGTATCAGTAACATGTTTTAGTGAACTTGTTATACATTTGACAGCCCTCAAATAATAAATACGTAATTTATGAAAATTCTTTAAGTCAAACAATAGCATATACCTTTCCACAAAGGCATAGAAAGCAGTTAAAAAAACAGACTAATGTAGTAATTTTTCAGTTGAGTTTAACTGCATAGAGGAGATAAAATAGATTACTAGAAAAAAACACAAACAAAAAAACAACAAAAATCCACAAACAAAAAGTACTCCTCCTTTACCTTCAAATACTTGATGATTGTTCTTAAGTAGTGTCTGCAGGCCTCCGTATTCACTCTTTAGCCTTTTTAAAGTCTCTTTATTTAGGTGTTCTGCTACTTCTTTCAAGGAAAGGCTTTCTGCAATAAATAAAGGTGTACCTTTTAACAATGTATATATACATAAATCCTAAGGAAATTTAACTTCTATATTATTTAATGATTATAAGCAGAATCTATGAATATGAATCAGTATCAGTACTGCAGCAACTTAGTACTGATAATTTTAAGGCATGCTATATATTTGATATGTATATTGTCTGTAAAATGACAGCTTTCATTCTACAGGACTTAAGTTCAAATTTCCAGAGTAAGATACATTTTATTTTCCCTGATTTTTTTACAGTTGCATATAACCCTTGTTGTGATAAGTACTTTTTACACACAAGTAGTCTGAGAGAGGGAGAATGACTTAAAGGATTTCCTGTAACAGTAACATATGAAAAACTACAGCAAGCAATAAAAAAGGAGGAAAATGGAAAGATAATAGTAGTGAGAAATAACTGAATGCTTACTAAATTAAGACCGACTTCTATTCTTTCTCTTCCTAAGACTAAACTACATTAAACCAAATGGCCTTTTCAAAACACTTCTTCCAAGATTCTTACAGAAATACTGCTAATTATTATCCAAAAAGTTATTTAATATTATCCCCACAGAGATGTAGAGTGTTTTATTTCAGTAAATGGGGAGAGGTTCTGGGTTTGTTTTGGTTTACCTTTTTTTAATAAATCACTGAGAATCACAGAATCATAAAGGCTGGAAAAGACCTTTAAGATCATCAAGTCCAGCCTATGACCTAACAACACCCATCAGCTAGACCACGGCACTAAGTGCCACATCCAGCCTTTCCTTAACACATCCAGGGATGGTGCCTCCACCACTTCCCTGGAAGTCCATTCCAAAACTTGAGTCTGTCCTAGTGTTCAAATGGAGAGGGAAAAAACTTCACACAAATTTCAAAATACACTTGCATGCCTTATTTGTGTCCCAGTAGGCAATAAAACAGTAAGGGAAAAAAAGCCTTAGAATGCTGCTGTGCTTTTCTGGGTATTTCCTAAACTCTGTTTCACATACTAGATTTACAAACTTGTAAAGTGATTAGAAAAGACAATCTCTGCAAACAAAAGCAAAAGGTAATACAAAGGAAAGACAACCTCACCTCCTTGATTCCAGGTATTTGCATTTTCGCCATGCATACTCGAACATGATTTGGGGGGAGCTGCATTTAACAGCAAGTTTGCCACATTGAGAACTACATCATCTACAAAATCCCGAGGGAGGGAAGCACAATTTTTTATTTGTTCTACTTTTTCTCTGGGTTGAAATCCAGGCATCCAAATTGTACCAGCAGTTTCAAACTCATTTTCAGGAAGTTCTGAGCCTGCTTCCTGGCATACACAATCAGACTGATCCTTATGATGAAATCCAAGTCTTCTGTCACAGGTGACCACAGCACAGGAGGGACGATTATTAATGAACTGTGTTATCTGCTTGTCAATCAGAGCACATTCTGTAGGTGGAGAGGTCCTGGTTTTTCCAATAAGGCACACCTATTTTAGTAGAAAAAGGTACATCACTATTTATACAGAGGCCCACACTTAGAAATACAACCCCAAAATGCATGTATTACGCATCTAAATGCACCTACAGGATATAACCATTCAAACTCGATGCTCATTAACATATGAGAGTTTTTTAATTTTAGTTTTCAAATACTGGTGCCAGAGAAGAAATGCAGTAATCACACCATAATCCATGCTGCCATACAATCATTGAACAATAAGAGTGTTCCTCATCCTCAGATTATTTACAAAATGGAAACTGTACACCTCTTCCTACTCTGAAAACATTTCACAGGACACGAAAAACAGCAAAATCAAGTACAAATAAGCAACACGGGCAGCTGGAAAAATTGAGTAAAAAAAAATGTGGTTTCTATGTTTGCCATCCTATAGGGTGGCATAAGATATAACCATAAAACCTTCCACTCTTTCTTGTCTTTAGGATTGTACCTAGGCCATTAAGTGCAGATTACCCAAGAAAACAATGAGTAGTTTTAGTCTCTCTTCAGGCATTTTTCCCAAGTGATGTAACTGACAACAGTCTGCTCTTAAAACAGTAATAATGAACAAAAAATAAGGCACAAATATCCATATGTTTCAGACAGCTAGCAGATTTAAAACAAACACACAAAAAAACAATGAAAAAAAGACAAAGTCCTGCACAGTCCAAAATTACCCTTTTTGTTGATGGAATTCTAAGGCAGTCTTCCTCCACATGAAAGCCACATACAAATCCCACTTGAACAATAAAATCAAGATATTCTCTGTACTGAGTCTTCTTGCTTTGTCTTCGGTTGTACTTGCCATGGAAATCAAAGAAGCAACATGGAAGCACAAAGTAGCGACAGGAATAGGAAGACCTACAAGAAGGACAACAAACTGCTGAATGGAAAATTACTTCAGAGAACATGCACATTTAGCAAACAGCCCATCAAATCCTAGCCATAATGGAAATTTTTATTAAGTGACAGTGCTTCATGAAATAATATTAGCATGTTTCTCTTTCAGTAGATCTATTAACATAATAAAAAATAGTTTCACAAAGCACTGTGCCAGTTTGGTTAGCAGGACTACATCTCTAGATATTAAACTACTGCAGCTGGTTGTGAAGAGTACAATGGTTCAAGGAAAGGCAGAACCAACAGAAATTTAACTTAAAAAAAACACAACACCTTAACAACAGATTTACATGTTAAGAATAAAAATCAGTTCTGTTTTTTCAATTTCAAAAGCAAAATGCTGTATGAATTCTGTGAGAGTGTAAATACTGTATCTCTGCTACCCCACAGAAACATTTTGTAAAGGTTTAGCACCAAAAGCAGCAAGTCCTGCAAGAACAGCAGGAGTGGCTACAAAAGTGACAGTTTTCACCAAGCACATATAGTTAGTTATGTTTTGTGGTTTTTACTTCTTTTAATTTCTTCCTTCTCCCTCCCCCAAATACCTAGCTGCAATTACAGGTATCCACGGTGTTAGTTCATCTGAATGGTTTCCTATGAGCCAGTCAGCATCTGGAAAGAGATGACTGTCACCTGGCACAATTGCAGATTCCTAAAAAACCCAAACAACTCATTAAGTTAATTTTATTACAGGTTTCTTGAAATGCATTTTGTTTGTTAATAAAGCACTACGTAATAATACAAAATCACACAAGCAATGAGAATCACAGACAACAACGTTTTCCTCAATGTGTTGTTTTACCAGATAGTAAATTGTTATGGTTACAAATAGGTAGTTTAGCAACAGTTACCCCCAAAATTTTGGTCAAAAAGTTGAATAATAATTCTGATTTAGGTATCTGGCACCCTTAAGTATTTGTAAACACATATTATACATTGGATTATGATTTCTTGCCATTCTCCATCACATAGATGTCTGGACTCAATTTTTCAGAAAGCCACTTAATTTGCTGTGTGTCCTAAGACTTGCACAGCAATTAAACACAACAGAGCTTCACTGCTATCTTCTCTTCTTCCAGACTTTTCTCAAATCAAATTGCAATATACAGAACACCACTCTTCACACCCTATCATTCCCATATAATAAACCTAATACAGCTGAACACTTTCCCTCCTGTCTATGCAGCCATTCCACCCTCTTCTATCTTGTGTCAAGACTACCTGCAAAATCAGGAGAAACCAATGGGTTGGAAAAAGAAGGCTTCTTTGTTGGCCTTTAAAGTAGCATTCTGCCTTGTGGAAATTCAATATATATGGATTGACGAGACATCAGCACAGAAGTCTTCCCACCACAGTACTGACTCACAGAATAGTTATTAGTCTCAAAAATATCCTGTCCTAATATTCTTTGAAAAAAGAAAACAACTCAGAAAACCTAAAAAACCAACCTCCAAATATGATTAATTTTTTGTACAGGTTAAATTTTAAAAGTTCTAGAGTGCCTTTAATGTTTGTTTTTCTCACACACATACTTTCTTACCCAAGTTTTCTTACCCAGCACTAAGCTCAGCAAAGAAAGATATTGATACTATGGACTCTTGTCTAAGTATGAATCTCAAAATAATTACTGGGCAGATTTGAAAAAAGATTTAAAGGTGAATCTCCATATACCTTTAGGAAAAGCACTGAAAATTATGCCTCTACTCTCATTTTATATATAAAATGCACGTTTTATGAGGTCAAAATTCACATGCAAAATAATATCTGTATAGGCACTAGAAAAAAAACAAAAAAACCAACACTTAATGGAATTTCAGGAATCTCTGACTACCACCATTACATTTCAATACCCCTCTTCAGAAATCACTGTGTTTCAAGTATCAGTATGGTGTATTATTGTTCACATTAAATACTGTATCTCTGATAATTTTTTGTTATTTCTACATATTTCTAGATTATATATATAACAAATTTATTTTTGGCAGGTTAGTAGATGTTAAACCAAGTGTTTGCTAAGTGTTTTCTTACGGTTTGTTAAACAAGTTACTCCCACGTTACATTTCAGTTTTGATCATTCAGTTTAGGCATCACATGAATTATCAGTGCCATACTCCATATTTTGACAGTCACCCATAATTAAATTTGTATTCACCATGTCTGACAGCAGTTTGGCAATGCTAAGTGCCACCTGTTCCACTCATTTATATTCTTAGCATTGGCACTGCGTGTCACAGATGGCAACATGCACCTTGCAACTCCTGCTTTAAGTAAAGATCAAAACAAAATTAGTTTTGAGGGCAACAAAAGGCTGTGAGCAGGTGCTTTCTCCTGAAGCCACAGGAGTCTTGCAAAATCACTTCACCCTTCCTGCTCATTAACTCCATCTCAAATAAATTAGTCCTTTCCTTACATGCGTGTTTTGGATGTTTTTATTGTTTCTGTCTGGCTTTTCCAAGTGTTACCTGGGAATGCCGCTTTTTTTTTTTCCATTTAAAAAGGACAAATAAACTCTGTACCTTTCTATTTTGTTCCCTGCAGAGAGGGCCAGCTGATGCTCAGTTTACCCATGAGTAAAGAAATCTGAGAAACTGAGAATAGCCAGACCTTAATATGAAATGAATGTACAAAATTCATAGATTTCCACAATTAACGAAACAGGGATGGAAAAAGGAATATATGACATTAAGGAAAAGAGTACTACTCTTTAACGGGTATAAGGCCAAAACCAGCTGGAATTGAAGTCAATGTTCATGTGCTGGAATTGTTTCTATTCTCATTAAAATGCTAATAGGGAACCTGAAACATAATCCATCTTCCAAACTAGTTTTCCTCTTGATTTTTTTATAAAGCTGTTATTCCAATTACCTACCACAAGGTCAGTACAGCAGAGCATTGGTTCCTTTGAGGTTCAACAATTTCATCCTCAAAACACCACATAGTACTAGCAGGCCAGAATCACTTCAAATATTAAATTGCTCACAACTTTAGATACTAATATCTTGTATGAGATAGAGATATGCAAAAAACCTCTGCTTAATCTTGATCTTGCAGTAAAATCAAAGATTGTTTCATGGTGTGCACGTCTGTACATGCAGTAGAAAATCACACTAGTCTTCTCAGCTGAAAAGGAAGCTGCAAATATGTAACTGTATGGTACAGCATTCCTCTCATAATCACCATTACAACTTACTTCACAGTCCCACAAGACAGATGGGTGGCATCATATCAAATGTTACTGTCTCTAACCCAGTATGTTTGACTACATTTGAACCAACACAAGTGAAGCAAAGAACAAGTGAGTAGTTTCAAATCAATCAGATTGACATACATTTGCATAATACCTCTAAACGAGTTTCAGGTCCATACATGTCCCATATTTTTCTTCTCCTCACATCAATTCCTCTACCTGAATGCTGAAATTTTGAACAAAAAAGCAACATTTAAGGTACTACTTTTAGCTGGAACTGTCAAACAGGCTCACTAAATTTATTTAATAACACTGATTATTTAATTCATATTAAAATCTAGACACAAAATGAAACATAGCAGCACCATTTCAGGCAGAAGCTGAATACTTTTAATCCCTTCTCTGCCTTCTAAAAATGACGGACTAGGAAATAGTAAGAATGTATCTGGTTTGAAGCTTTACCTGGACACACCTTTTGAGACTGCTCTTGAAAATTTAGGTCTTTTCAAAAGTAAAAGCAGAGAATTGTTTTTTATTTATTTAAATTTTTTTTTTAAAATCAAACCCTTTCATAAGGTATGATTCTAGCAGCCACAGGGCTCAGAGAACTGTGCTATTCTAAGCAGCTCTTGCGGGGAGAACCACCTTTGAACTACTCAAGTCATTAGGTTTTTGGAGTCCAAACACACTTTTCCTTGTGTGAACTGATAGGAAGAGGAAATAGGACTGGAAACTAAAGCAAGAAATAAAGAATGTGCAAATAGTAGTATTTGAATGTCAAGAACCCTGTGCAGAACTAACCAAAAATCATACTAAAATGTAATCATAATACTAATCATACTAAAGAAGTCTCATAAAACTCTCATACACAGGATTTTTTGACAGGCAGCATTTGTCAGTGCTGCAGCAGTGATGACTTCATGATGTACAAAAAGAAGCATCTACGGGGAAAATAGCACCTTGCATCAGATCAAATTTTTCAGGCCACACAACAATAGACAAGATTGTCAGGAGAAACTGGACCTTCCCCCACCCTCCAATGACATCTGTTGAATAGGAGAGACTCATTTCCTCTACAAATTTTACCATATTCTCCCAAAAGTGGAAAATAACAATTTTCTGAGACTGACAGAGCAAGCTTCCCTAGCTTTTGGTTAATATTACTGACTTTTGTTGTTGTTGTTCTAGAAACTATACCTCAATAAACTGAATTTTGCTGTTGCCACATATTCATTCCCACAGCATGTTGTTAGGCACTTTCAAAATCAACAAATCCCAGGACTGTTTTTACAAATATAGAAAATATCTTGAGCAAATTGGTCGTGGGAGGTGTCCCTGGCCACGCAGAGGGCCGCAACAAGATGATCTTTCAAATCCCTTTGAACTGAAACCATTCTGTGATTCTATGATTCAGTGATTTCCAGGACATCACAAACATAACTCAACTTCAATAGTACTAAGTTTAAGAAAAATAGCTCACTTAAATGCTCTTGTGGAAGAGAACCTCTCTGTTAAGATTCCTCATTCCTTTTGCTTTGTGCACCAGCATAACTAAATTACACCATTAGTTTTTATTTTCCCCCTCTTAGTTTCTTACCTCACAAAAATAGCCTCGAATTGAAATTAATTTGACTAATAAAGAAAGATAGAAAATCAAATTAAAGTTTTCTAGAGTGATAAAATCCTATTTTAGCAATGAGTTAGCTGTATTTGGGCTATTTGCATGCCAGGTAAAAGCAAAGCATAACAAGAATATTGACTTTCTCTATTTTTTTTTAGCTATTATTTTAAAAAGCACTGTATTTACCCCTTCATTATTTAGAATATGAACCAATAGGCCATTTCCACATCCAAGATCAACAAACGACTGTTTCTTTGTCAATCCTTTTTCCTTTCTCTCTTCTTCCCAAAGAATCTGAAACAAGAAAAGAAAACATTTTAGACTTCTACTCTCCAGTTTCCCAGTAAGAAAGCAGCAGAGTTTATTGAAAATGAAGGGAGAAATCTGGGACAGAACACATATGTGACAGACAACATCCCCTGTACTCACAGAGAAAATAACTAACCTTATCTTAACCACCTGTTACATGTACTCATAAATAATGAGCTATTATATATCATCACAGAGGTATCTGAAAACTTTTGCAAGGGGGTTAGGTTATTAACACTGTACTTTAAGCTTTCATTTATAAAAGCCAATTATTGGATGACTAGTAACTTGTTGAAAACTACAGCTACTCCAGCGAGAAGACATCATCACTATGATCATAATCTAACACACGTTCGGAAATACTTGCAAAACATTTTCAAGGCATCATTACAGAATTTTTTTGTGGCTACAACTAACTTTCTGATTTTCAATATCTAATATTATCACCATGTCAAAAATGGTAAAAGGTAAGTCTATTATACAGCTCTTTCCAGAAGCCAGTATCATAGATAAGAATAGTTCAGCTGGAGGGAACCTACAGCAATAACCTAGTCCAACTGTCTGGCCACTTCATCAAGTTCATTTATCTGATGATAAATGGGAGTTCTGTCACACCAACGTGATAATCAAGGTTTTGAGAGTAGCCTAGGTCAGTCAGGCTCCCTCAGACAATTAAAAAAATCTTCATGGAAAAGAGAAACTAGAGTTCTAAGCTTAAAGACTCAATTATAAAAAATAAATTAGTTGTCAATGGGTTCTTTAAATGCAGTATCTTAGTTACTAATACTGATTTAGAGAAGATGCAAAAGGTATTGATATTATACTTGAAGGCTCAAAAAATTGTGCCTACATAGTGACAAACTTTGATGCTATTTAAAAACCTGAATTTTCTAGTGACTGCAGGTGGCAGAATTTTCATAGATTCTTAAACAGGTAGGTGCCTTAGAAAACTGCATCAAGCATTTATCTGCATTCCTAGTTGGCGTTAATGCATTTGAAGATGAGATTTGAGGTGAACTTTTATCAAAGGCAAAGCAGTGAAAAACCTTTAGCATAAAAATTAACCAGTTGCAGAAATACATATAAAACAATAGCTTGTGATATCCAAATTGGTCCACCTGATCACTCTTTTTCTGCTACATCAGTGCTTTTTTCACTTAAAAAAAATACATCCTGTCTGTGTAGATCAAACTTCCTTTGACAGAAGACTGCATATCATCGTATCTTCTCAAAGAAGTTCTAGTATCCTTCTAAACAATTTTCATTATGGTATAGCACAGTATAAAAAAATCAAATCAACTGTTTTTCCATTTGTTTTGCCACACTAAGTTTTTTTGCAATTCTGTTATAAAAAGCCTGCCTTCTGTAAACACTTACTATATGTAAATCCCTGAAATGCTGTTGAGAGTGCTATCAAAGAAGATGAATACATCATGAACAGAATTATAGACATGAATTCCACTTTAAGTTATGCTTGAAAACATTGTAATAAAAATTCAGTTCCTCTACCTAACTGAGAATGAAAGCAAAAAAACCCCAAAAAACAATCTAAAACAAAACAAAAAATGGACCCAAAAAACTCACAACTTTTCACCTACCCCCTTCCTTTTGCCTTATAAGCCTCTAATAATTTCAGGATATTCTATTTTAAAACATGCAAAAACTGTGAAATAAAAATACTTTTTTTAAAGAGGTTTTTAATTAGGAAATAGAACCTTATAGAGTATTATTAGGCAGAGCAGCCCCCTACCAGCAAATAAGTGGCAATGGCAACATCTTCATAAACAAATTTCTCAGGATCTGTTACTTCAGGCCACACCTTCAGGGGAAAAAAAAAAAAAAAAAAAAAAAGAGAGAAAAACATTTTTTGTACCATCTGAAATTACTTCAAAAATTGCTCTGTTAGAGGAATCTGGATATTCATCCATTCAATAGGCTTCTGCACTTCACAAATTTTGTATTTTAATCTCATTAAAAATATACACAAAGAAAGACAGTTTGATTTTGTCAGACATACAAAACAATAATGGCATAAAGAATGCCTGCTGTCCTCCAATCAATAAAGTTTCCAATAATATTATGGCACTATAGGTAAAGCTCACAAGTGAACTGCTGTGTCTGTTTTGGAATAGAGCATGCATCCTTTTGCTCAACCCCCAGAAGAAAAATACTTTAATTACTCCTGTCATGTGCAACACTGATAACATGAGCATTTATAAATTTATTTTCACAATGTAATAGGCATAGAATTATCTGGCACAACAGAACATGAAGAACCAAAATCTGAAGTAGGAAGACAGCAAGTGAAAGTACTATGCTTACTTTGTAAATGAGGTATTGAAACAAAGATTTAAATGCTCAACACTACATGAAATCTACCACAGAGCTGAAGACTGAACCTTACCTTACTCCCAAGTCCAATTTTCCTTTCATATATTTTTTTTTAATGAGTACAGCAATATCAGGACAGTAAAACCATTCAACATTTTCAAAATATTTTACAAAAGCATTTACCCATTTTTTTGCTTGTACCTAGAGTGTCGTGTTAAGCATATAGGCACTACTTCATAAAGCACTGAAGGTGACTGTCATTTTTCCCCAGGATAAAACACTATTACAGCATTGCTCCCCTCACTCTAACATGTATTAATACACCATCCACATTTAAAAAGAGCAATAGGAAATTTAACTACTTGCTAACCATTGCTGTTTCCAGACTCTTTCAAATGGTGCTTTATTTATGTCTTCTAGTGTGGATGACTTAGCATTTACACCTACTGATCAATTGCTTACTTCTTACCAGAATGGGTACATTCTGAGAAATACCTAACTCCTCCGGATATGTAGTGTGAATTTGGCTTCAAATCTTGCTTTTCTAGTTCAGCTCTTCCAAATACTAAATAATTTTTTTTCCCCTCACATACACAGAAAAAAACCCCAAACATTAAACCACAAAACATGAATTTCAGTTAAATTGTGTCTTTTATTAAAAAAATAATTCAATGGAAGAAGCAGATTCAGCAAACAAACAAAAAATATAGGAAACCATATAATTACTACATTTATTGCTAACTTACCTTTACTATCTCCTTGTATTTTTCTTTAAGGTCTTGATAAACCTGGCTGTATTTTGCTACAGAAATGAGGGAGAGTGTACTTTTAAACTCACTGGACTTCTGCTCCACACACCATTTAGCTAGTTTGGACAAAAGTTCATTTTCAAGCCATGCTAGTTTGGGATATGCAATTCCATCTGAAAACCAGTCTTCTGGAAATGGAGCTACAACAGACAAAGACCTTTAAAAATAAAAGAAAAACTTAGTATAAATACAGTGTATTTCAGTATTTCAGTTACCTCAAAGAGAGAGAAAATAATAATTAAGTGATTGCACAGATACATGTTGGGTGGAGAATGGACTGAGAACAGCCTGGAGGAGAAGGACTTGGGGGTGCAGGCAGATGAAAAGCTCAATGTGAGCTGGCAGTGTGGACCTGCAGCTCAGAAAGCCAACCGTGTCCTAGGCTGCATCAAAAGCAGCATTGCCAGCAGGAAGAGGGAGATGACTGTCACCCTCTACTCTGCTCTTGTTAGACCCCACCTTGAGTACTGTGTCCAGTTTGGGAGTTTCCCCCCACACCGAAAACAACATGAAGGTGTTGGAGCCAATCCAAAGAAGGGCCACAAAGACAATCAGAGCACTAGAGCAAACTTACAAACTTTTTCTAGACCACACACGTGCACAATATATCCATTCACAGGTGAAACAGAGTGGTTTTTCATTTTGAGGGGTATTGTAGATTTGTCTTTTAATTGCACACTATGCACTAAGGTCACACTCCTACTGTCTTTTACTAGTCAAGCAGGAAATTACAAAAACCAAATAGCCTAGGCACCAATAATGAAATATGGTGTGATCACTGCAATAACTCAGGGTTTGCCTCCTCTCTCACTCCCAGCACTTACCATTCCTCATGTTTTACATGTGTAAGTTGAATTTGATAAATATTGCTCTTTTTAATCTGGTATTTTCCTTCGCTGTTTTCCTCCAAAGGCAGAAAGGTCACAGTTCCATTGTAAACATCTGAGAATTAGGCAAACAGCAACATATTATTCCATGGCATAAACCATCCTGGTCAGCACCAAAAGAAACTTTTGTCTCCCTACTATGTTAAGTGCAAAGTAGCGAGGCAAGATCTAGGACAACACAAGAACCACAATGTTAAGGCTTACTCGTAAGAATATTCATTTTCTTTAAACCTTACTATTTTAATAAAATAAAAGCCAACCACGTTACTGATCTTAACTGTGTTTATCACCTGTGGAATAAAATCACACTCAGTGACAGATTCCAAACACAAGAGATTTTGGAAAAGCTAAAAAGGGCTGACAAACCACTGGCAAAGCCCTTAGGTGCCTACACATATTTCAAGAAGATATTTTGCAACTTTTCTCACGTTAGCTAATGTCAATCATGATTGTACCATAATTAACTCCTACACAAGTGAAACCACAGAGTGCGTGTCCTTTTGCAATAACTTAAGAACAAAAAGAAGGGTGACTGCAGTGAAATGCGAATGGAACAATAAGGCCTACTACTCACACCCTAATGATTTGTTAATTTTTAAAAAAATCTTATTATGTTAATTTATTCCCTATATCCTTACTATAAAGTGATTTAAAAGCACTGACTGTATTCCTTTTAGCATATGATATGTATGCATTATTACTTTATTAAAAAAAAAGAAAATCTTTTTAGCTACGGTTTATCCAGGTGAATTTCTTCAGAATAACTCAAGTTCACATTTTTAAAAATGGTTTCTCAGATGCCATAAAAAAAATTCATTCCGCTAAATGAACACTGTATTGGGTAAATAAATTTCAGTGGACTCAAAAATTTACTGCTAATTATTCTTTCCTGTCTCAGAAAATAAAACATCAAGTCTTGTGATCTCAGTTTATCCTTAGCCAACCCTCTAACATTTTTCAATTCAAACATATTAATTAAAAATATAGTCTCATAGACTTTTTCCTATAGGTAGGCTCTCTGGGGCTCTCTCAGAACATCTTATCGTAACATCAAAAGAAAAAATAAATCCAAACTGCAACATATATATATTTTTTAAAGCATCATCCTTTTTTTTTTTTTAAGGCATGGGAGTAAGAATCACAGGCCAATAGAGCTTCCTAAGTCATAGATTACTATAGGTCGTTTTGAATTGCAAATCTAAGTGTTTATGGAATTTTGATTCTTTTTAAAACATTACTATTAAAATTTAATCCACATCAACACTGCTTCCAATAATTTATCTTAAAAAAGGTGTCAACTTGCAGTCTATATATTTACATTAGTAGGATTTATTGCAGCATCTTACTATGTAAAAAACCCAACCCAAATCAAGATTCATTTTTAAGCAATATTAAACCATAAGAAAGTTGACACGTACAGCTCAGCTTGGCCACACTGCTCACTTTTTTTCATTAACTCTGCATTTTCAAAGGCTACTGTCACTGCTTACATAGTTAGGGACTGAGAGATTGTGGAGTCTCCCTCACTGGAGACATTCAAAACCCGCCTGGACAAGTTCCTGTGGGATGTGCTCTGGGTGACCCTGCTCTGGCAGGGGGGTTGTGCTGGATGATCTTTCGAGGTCCCTTCCAACCCCTGAGATTCTGTGATTCTGTGACTGCAGTACAAGCAGCATTTCCGTGTGGGCAGCTTACTCATGCCAGGAGCTCCCAGGATGGCAGGTCCTGTCTCTTCTTTTTAAGGAACACAAAGAGATGAGCAATTTTCTATACCTGAAGTGGGGGGTTGTTAAACCCTGAGTCGTACAGGTGTGTGACCTAACTTGTATTTCAACTGTTGACAGTTCCTAGCACAACAGAAAACAAAATCTAAGCACGCGGCAAGGTACAAAAATCTATCTCTGTGTGGGGAACGGCCCATCTTCTCTCCCCCCACGTAAGACTAAACAAGACGCCTTGCAAGCCAGCACAGGTGAGCAGCCAAGGC